CGTCTTCCTTCCTTCTTCTCTCTCTCTCTCTCTCTCTCTCTCTCTCTCCTCCTCTCTCTCTCTCTATTTCCGCGGCCGGTCTTCTTGACCGTTCTCCAAACTTTCAGATGTCTCAGATCGGAAAAACGAAAGGATTGACATGCGGCAAAGGGAATGAAATCAATGATTCTACTTCCTCGGGGGGGTGCAAAATTACGCTTCGGACGAGCCGGAAACGTCGACGAAGTTTTGGAGGATAATGGTAACCAAAAGAAAAAAAAAAATAAATCGGGAAGAAAGAAAGGAAGGAAAAGAAAGGAAAAGAGAGGAGCGTTATCGACCGTGTCGATATCGAAGGCGACGAACGCACCGCCGTCGTGTCAACTCGCGGACTGGCGGATGTAACGCCGGTGCATTGCTTTTAACCGATTCGCCATACTGGTATTCGCCGTCCCTTCTACCATCTCTCTCTCTCTCTCTCTCCTTCCTCTCACTTCTTCTTTTTCCCTCTTTCCCGCTCGCGTTCTCCGTATCTCATCGCCGTAGGCCACGCGCAACGTCGAGATCATGGGGTTCACCTGTCACTGCGGCGTTCGCCGCATGACGTCAGCGCGACGACCAGACAACCGGTGACCGAACAAAGAGCGCGAACGAGCGCAAACAAACGCGAGCGAACGCAATTGCCATGACGAATGTGGACGGTGTTGCGAATAATAATACGAATAAACGCGAATTTGCATTTACGTCTCATCTATGTTTATTTTTTCTTGAATCATGTCGAAAAATACATAGAAAAAAACATCCGCATATCTTACACTTATCCACATTCGATCGTGATCGTTCGCCTGCTGAAATGGTTCGGATCCTTAAATACGACGAGTCGAAGCTTCGCAAACATTCGGAAAAATTATGTCACGTTAGCTACGTAATGCGCAAACAGTTAGCTTGCATTTTGATGCAGCTCTCATGACTTCTCATGACTTTTCGTTCCATCATGTCAAGCATTCGAGTAAATAGTATTATTCGTAAATTTTAAAGATGGAAAATGCCAATGTATTCGAACGTTCGCGAAATGAAAATACGCCGGAATTTTACTGAATCGCATGTCAATCAGTTTGTCCTTTGTTTTAAGTCAAAACAGGAAGTAATTATGTATATTAAAAGTTAAAGAGCAAATATTTAACAGAAGTATGGCAAAACAGGCTGACATAGGCTTATTCAAATTAATTGAACAATACATTAATTTTCACTGGAATTATAAATTAATTCTAAAAACTAAAATTTTTCCACAATGACTCGTCATATCTGTCATGATTCCTGACTCGCTACTTTTTGACGAAAGATTAATCGCAAAAGATGATTGTGTTCCAACGACACGAAAACGTTTCTCTGAAAAAAATTTAAGAATTTCGTAAAACGTCCGAAATGTGAATAAAATAATTATCAATGACGCTTTTATTACAATAATATATATAGTGATCTTCAGACATTTTTTTTATCCAAAGTAATAACATTCTTTATCCTTTTCTCATCCACAATAACAATAATAATAAAATCGTAATATTCACTTAATATACTTCACATTTCTTTATTTTTTCAACCGTGAGATGCGATTACGAAAGAAATGAACAAAGTTTTAATCTTTATAAACGCAAGTCCAATTAAATAATTGTAATAAATTACAATTTTCAATAAAATAAATACATACATAAATGCAGAAAGATCTTAACTTAAAAAAAAAATAATATAATTAATATTTCATAATATTTAATTATGAAATATATATAGTAATTAAATTTAAAGCAATATTGCTCAAGAATTCAAGTAAAAATACGAAATATCATAATTAATATACGAATATAGAAAAATCAAAATATATCAAATAAATTCGCAAATTTCGAAATCACTAAAAAAGAGCATTCCAAAAGTATGATTAATTTGATAATTTTATTGTCTCAGGGAAAATCGGGGAGTATCACCTATCTATTCCATATATACGTACAACACTTAAATCATCAAATGTAAGTGGTTTATTTCTGAAAACACCACGCTCGGCGCCGAGGTGCTATTTTGAGTTTGAACTTTCCAGGGAAGGACCGGATATCCCGCCGAAAGCCAGACAAGTTCAATGACATGGAATAGGGAATTTCGATCAAGTTATATCAGTTCGAGAAAATGTAATTCTGGTTTACTATCCTTG